TTGTGATTAGATTTGGACCTGTTTTTTTCTGTTAAAATACTCAGAAGTGGTTTACAATGAAAAGCAACAAGAACATATATATATATAAAATAAACGAAGTATTCAGTATATGATGAATAACAACCATATGTTCTAGCTGCAGAATCTCTAGGTAAGGAGCCAGACCAGGTTCAGGCCTCTGATCCTGTTGGTGGAGATCAGATGGCCGCTGCGTCTGAGACTGAGGGACAGCAGTCCCCAGAAGAATTTTCCATGCCACCATGGTCCACAGAACCAGAGTCTGGACATAGAAACCTAGAACTGTAGAGTTGGAAGGGATCACCTAGTCCAATCCCCTCTAATGTAGGAATATTCAGCTGTCCCATACAGGGATCGAACCTGCAACCTTGGCGTTATCAGCACCACACTCTAACCAACTGAGCTATCCATTCTCATTTATGCAAGGATGTCTACAGCTGAGAAACCAAATGCCTTGCACAGGACTTGAGTCTTCCAGCAGTGCATGGAGCACACAAAGTAAGAAGCCATGGAGCACAGGAGAATTGTCTTCTGGTTGTGGTGAGAGCGACCTTGTCAGAGGGTCCCAGTTGAGATGCTCATGAAGCTTGGTACTTCTGGCTGCTTTAGGACTTCATTGGGTTCTTCCTGGACCCCAGGCTATGGTGGAGTTTTCTGTGATGTCCTCTGGGGTGGTCTTTACTCGGTCATGGTTGAGCAGGATCCAGACAGTTGTTTTGCACCTATGATCATGAAGCTTCAGTGCTTGTCCCACAACAACAGGAGCTTTATAGGCAGAATAGGTGATCCAAAGATGCCTTGGGATAGCCACAGCTCCTCCCCTTCACAAGCTTTAAGAAGCTTCTTTGCAAAATCCCTGCCATCTTTTATCACAGTGCACTGCCTGTGAGCTAGTTTCGCTTCTTCCAGGCTTGTCCTAGCAGTGCCACAAATGGTGGGAGAAGTCCCTGTTAGCAAATGTCAAAATCTTAGCAGTGCCAAAGTCACATTCCCAGCAAGCCCCTCACCCCACACAACCTCTTGCCAACCTCTCAGCCAATCTTTATTTAAACACACTTTTCAAAGAGCCCAAGTGCAGTTTTTTAGCATAATCAAACTTGATTTTTTTTTTGTCAGCTCCCTCTTGGAAAGATTACAAGGTTTATTCAAGCAGGAAGCAGCCTGAGATTAGCTGTCACTCCAGATTCAGTCTGTCAAGCTAGCTTTATTACAACGAGGCCATTATTATTATTATTATTATTATTATTATTCACTGGGATGGAATGAATATATTCTTTGCTCACCTCCCCCCACTCCAAGCCACTTCCCTCTCACCACCCCACACCTTCCTTTTCCCATGTGACACCAAGCACGAATGTGAACCTATGAATTAAACCAGATTTGCTTCGTTGATTAGCAGACATGCATTATGGCACTTGGAAACTCACTTTGGGCCAAATTAGGGTGATTGCAAAGCAGTTAGGCTGTCGGAGATGAAGCCTTCTTTTTCTGATGGTCTTGGCTTCAGAAAATTGAAATGTCCTGTTCCGAAGCACTAGCTCCCTTTGTTGTGTCTAGAACAAAAGCCATATTTTTGGACAGTAACAGAACTGGGTGCCTAAACAGCCATAGCAATGGAAGTCATGGAGGACAAGGCAACCAGCAGCTACCAGCCCTGATGGCTGTGCTGGGTGCCTCCACTGTCAGTGGCAGTGATGCTTCTGGATTGCAGGAAATTGCTGGGAATCACAAATGGAGAGAGGGCTGTAGCCCTGAGGTTCTGCTTGTGGCTTTACTGTAGGTTTCTGGCTGACCACTGAGAGAAGTGGATGCTGAAGAAGATGGACCACTGGTTCTTTTGCTCATAAGAGGTGGGGGGAACCAGGAACCTAGCTTCTTGGACAACTTGTTTGCCTCAGTGTAAGGTCGCTTCCTAAGTCTGTTTTCCTAACTGATGGCTGTATGGGGACGTTCTGGGCAGCAGATAGGAAGACAAGCTGATGAGAAAAGAAAGGTCATATCAAAGGTGGAAATATCTACCAGAGGATGGTAGGTTTGCACAAGTACTTTTTAAATATATGTGACAGTACACACCCTGTTGTCTTTTTTTGCTGCCCATGGCGGCCATTTTGTGCTGGCACCCATGGCAGTTTTATCAACACAGGTGTAGCAGCACCTCATTTTATTTTGATCGCCCACCCAATCTCCCCCCCCCAATCCCCACTGGTTTGCATGATTCAGATTGGGGGTGTGAGGTAAGGTGGGAAATATGAAGTAAGAAAGGAAGGTGAACTGCATTGTGGGAGGGGAAAAAAGCAAAAGTCCCCAATCCTCTTCCTCAACAATTTGTGTCAGAGCACACAATTGCTGTCTGATAAAATGTAGGACACAAGATTGAATTACTTCATTGAACCAGCGCTGTCCCCTGCTAATGGTAATTGCGTGGATCTAGCGGTTTTTCTTGGCGCCTTCTCAGATATTTACCTCCCACTGTTTTTCAATTCAAGCCTTTGATGAAAATATTCCCAGTACTTCTTTAAAGCAGACACCCAACTGTCTTCCTTGACAAAGGCAAGGTCTCTAAATCAGTTCCTGGCAATTTGTGACACAGCAGTCTATCTAAATCACCTTTTACCCATGTCACCGTGTCATTTCCTCAAGGAAGGGGGGGGAGGAGAGAGGAAGGGAAGTAAATGCCCATCAGGTTTCTAAGGGCTTGGTGTTCTGCAGGTCCATGGACAAGAGAAGGAACAAATGTCAAAGATTTTGTATGCAGCTTTCAGAGAAAGTAATTCAAGATGAGCACTTGGGACATCTTGGTGGAAGTCTCCCATGGCAGAAATCAAGACTTAAGAACATGAGAAAAGCCTGCTGGATCTGGCCAATGACCCATCTCCTCCTGCATTCTGTTGTTACAGTGACCAACCAGATGCCTGTGGGAAACCTGCAAGCAGGTGGTTTCCAGCAACTGGTATTGAGAAGCAATTGCTGCCTTCAGCTGTGTGGGCAAAGCATAGCCATAATGGTTAGTAGACACTGATAGCCTTCTCCTCCATTGATTTCTCTAATCCTCTTTTAACGCCATTGAAGTTGGTGGAGGGACACGGGTGGCGCTGTGGGTTAAACCACAGAGCCTAGGACTTGCTTATCAGAAGGTCGGCGGTTCAAATCCCCACGACGGGGTGAGCTCCCGTTGCTCGGTCCCTGCTCCTGCCAACCTAGCAGTTCAAAAGCATGTCAAAGTGCAAGTAGATAAATAAGTACCGCTCCGGCAGGAAGGTAAACGGCGTTTCCGTGCTCTGCTCTGGTTCTCCAGAAGAGGCTTAGTCATGCTGGCCACATGACCCGGAAGCTGTATGCTAGCTCCCTTGGAAAATAAAGTGAGATGAGCGCGCAACCCCGGAGTCGGCCACGACTGGACCTAATGGTCAGGGGTCCCTTTACCCTTTACCTAAGTTGGTGGAAGTAAGTTCCATGGTATAACTGTGCATTGCTGCTATGTTAATGAGCTGCTACAATATTATGAGGCAGCAGCTGGTCAGGGGTCAGTGCTGCTCATGGCCCTCCCAAGGTCCCAGGACTGGGCCCTGAGCAGCAGTCAGGCACCAGAAACTGAGGAGCAACCTAGATGTTAGGACTGAAGACCATGAAGCAGGAGCAAGCCAAGAGGTGAAGTGAGGAGCAAGTCAGAACCAGGGGGGAAACCAAAAGGAAGGTCAAGGAACTGGAACTAAATAATAACAAAGTGGCTCATGTTTCCTGACCTAGGTTCAACTTGAACAGGAACTTCTCTTATACACCAGAAGGATCCGTTGGCCAGCATGGGTGGGTGGAGTCAATCCAGGGTTGGAAAGCAGTTCGTTGAGAAGCTGCCACCTACAGGTCAAAGGTTCACCATATGGAGCAGCCCCACACAGCTCCCAGCTGTTCTTGAGTTTCCAAAGCTGCCTAACTGTACTGACCTCTGCAACTGAAGCTAGCTGGGTCAGCCCACTCATTCTGGTAGTAACCTGTGGCCACTGCACTGAGACTGCTTGACCCAGTTTTGTCCGGTCTGCCTTCCCCATCTTCTCTTAGTTGCATCTCCTCCAGCTTCAGAACCAGCAAGGCCTCTCTCCATCCATCTGGCCATGGAGCTTATCTCAGATCTCAAGAGGCCCAATTCCGCTGTCAGCAGGATTCCTGCATGTCAGTCCATCTTCTGATAGGGCCAGCAGTGTTGCAAAATTATGATGGAGAGATTCTGAAATGTGAGCAATGAAACATCCATCTCCCTCACCCTGCATTAATGTGTCAGGCCAGTAGCTCTCTCTGGAGATTCCTGATGCAATCATACTGTCTCTGGCTCTACTTCATGCCTTGGATGTGAGCCCTCTACCCAGACCCTCTCCTGTGGATCTTCTGCTTGGCTGACATCAACAGCCACCCAGAAGAGAAGGGCTTTGTGTCTGGTAACAGCATGGATTAATTTTATGTGTGTTAAATATTTCACTGATGAATGACGAAATTCCCTTTGTAGCCAGTTTTGGATAAATAACTTTTTCCATTGCAGATTTTTGATTGCTTTTTGTGTGTGTGTGGAAGTCCCAAACTGCCAACAGGTTTAATCAGTCTCTCCCAAGTACTTCCCTGATTTATTCTACATAGGTTAGTTACGAAACACTGAGCTGTGGAGATTTGTTGGAAAAGAAGCCGCATTGTGCGTGTTGGTGAACACAACTGTGCTGGATTTCTTGACTTCTTTATTTCTGCCACGCTGAGCATTGGGCAGCATATGTGATAGGTCCACGATTCTTTTTCCTCCATTGAAAATGACAATGCATTATGTGCTTGTCACATATCACCCAGTGGATATTTTTATGCGGGTATTTATTTAAGCATTTATGTCCTGCCCATCTGGTAGGAAAGTACCACTCAGGCTGGCTTACAACATTTAAAATTAAAGCAAAGTGCAGGGACAGGCAGGATGCTAGGCACCACTCACAAATTCTTTCCAAGACTTTCAATAGGGACAAATGTAAGGTTCTGCACTCAGGCAGGAATAATCAGATGCACACATATAGGATGGGGTTGACAGCAATCCATGTAAAATGGATCTAGGGGTCTTAGCAGACCATAAGCTTAACATGAGCCAACAGTGTGATGCAGCAGCAAAAATATAAATAAGTAAATAAAGTAATGGTGGTGGTGGTGGTGATGATGATGAAGATGCAATTGGAGGCTGCATCAACAGAATTTAAGTGTCCAGGCCAAGGGAATAGTAGTACTATTTTGTTCTGCCTTGCTCAGACCCTCACCTGGAGTTGTGTGTCCAGTTCTGGTCACCACACACATTTAAGAAGGATTTTGACAAGCTGGAATGTGTTCAGAGGAGGGTGGCCAAGATGACCAAGGGTCTGGAAGCCAAGCTTTAGGAGGAACATTTGAGGGAGTTGGGTCTGTTTAGTCTGGAGGACAGAAGACTTGGAGGTGATGAGAGCCATCAGATATCTGAAGGGCTGTGAGATGGTGGCAAGCTTGTTTTCTGCTGTTCCAGAGGATAGAACTGGGCTCTAGTATTAGGAGTTGGGGGGATTCTGCACACTATGTATAATTTTGTATACTTCTTCCCCCCCCTTTTTTCTAAACTAAGAGGAAGTGCTTTTGCCTTTCCTAGTAAGCTGGAACATTTGTGAACATTTAATTGATAGGTCAATTGACCCAAACTCATATGATTAATCAATTAAAATCATTTTATTGGGTTGTACATGTACACGTGCACACACACATATTGAATTATCCCAGATAGCTGAGCATCTGGTGTCCTGATGTTTTGAAAATCTCTCAGTGCCAAATTATTCCCCCCTCTGAGTCAGAGCCATCCAGCCATTAACAAATGTCACAGTGTATAGTAGCAAATCTCTACAACTGACTGATCCTTGCAATGGGGGTAACATTAATCTTTTTAGTATAGATTTTCAATAGTTAACCATCTGGCAACGTGTACTTTTCCCAGGAAGTTTTCTTTGCTAAGGCCATCAGGGAAAAAGACAGTTCTGCTAAATGAAGAGAGAGCTCATTTTGAGGAGTGTTCACTTACAAGGTTGGGCTAGGGATGCTTCTGCCCAGAATCCCTGAGAGGTTGTGAGGATTCTCAGGAGAAGGCCAATAGTCTACTCACACTATTGGATGAATACAAACAGAGACGTGGGAGAAATTCTGTTTTGTTTGCACTTAAATGAGAAACCACCCAAGTCACCAACCAAGCACTGCTATCTTTCAAAATCTGCACTTCCCCAAATTTTGTGATGCAGTTCTTCAGCAAAGAAACATGTACAAAAATATGCATGCATTAGAAGAAAACGTGTTTAAAAATGCATGCATTGGTGAAAATAACATGCATTACATTGAGGAATTTCTTGCAAAAATGTGCACGTTAGACAAAAGTGCATACGAAAGATGTACAGTACAATAATTAGAAGAAATTCACATTAATATCCTGTCAAGTTTCCATAAGGAAGTTTATTTTATTTGCAAATGCCTGCAGAAAAGTGGAGAACCAAATTTACAACTGGGGAAAAGCAAGAAACAGAGAGAAACCAAAAACTGACAGATTCCCCCATCTCTAAATATGTTGGTTGCTATTCAACCAACTTTTACTCTGAGTTGAACTTGATGGGCATGACTAAGTTATGTCTATTAATTTCAGTAAGTCTACACGGAATAAAACTTAGCTGAATACCACCAACTGGCAATTTTACCCACCAAGAAGCAAAAAGAACAAAATAGTTATGTATGGCCAACCAAGAGTCCAACAGCTGCATCCTCTGGGACAGTCTTCCCTTACCAATGTCCTGACTGAGGATGATAGAAGTTGCCATCCAAAACATCTAAAGGGCATCAGGTTGGGAAAGGCTGCTCTGAGATATTATTGGGCCATTCTGCTGACTGTTGCTTCTAGCTTTGTTTATTCTACTTGACAGGGCGGTGGGGAGAGATGGTGCCCCTCCCCATACCTAGTGCCACATAATACTACTAGATGGAAACATTTATTGAAAGAAGTGCTTTCAAATTACATGCAGATGAAAGCAGTTGCTGGAATAAATCAAAAGCAGGATGTGCTTTCCTCTAGCAGGATTGCTGTTCCTAATCTTGCCAATCTCTCAGTTGCTTTAAAAAAACAAACATTATTTATTTGGAATCATGAGCTTGAATCCAGTGCTAATCACACTCACAGTAGAGCCCTTGAAGTTACAGTATCGCTCTATTCTGCCTTGGTCAGACCACACCTGGAATACTGTGTTCAGTTCTGGGTGCCACAATTTAAGAAGGATATTGACAAGCTGCGACTTGTTTAGAGGAGGGTGACCACGTTGATCATGGGTCTGGAAATGAAGCCTTATGAGGAATGGTTGAGGGAGCTGGGTATGTTTAGCCTGGAAAAGATAGCCATCTTCAAATATCTAAAGGGCTGTCATAGGGAAGATGGAGCAAGCTTGTTTTCTCCTGCTCTGGACAGAAGGACCTGAACTAATGGATTCAAGTTACAAGAAAGGAGATTCCAACTAACACCAGGAGGAACTTTCTGATTGTAAAAGCTGTTCAACAGTGGAACAGACTCCCATGAGAAGTGGTGGACACCCTTCATTGGTGAGCTTTTAAGCAGAGATTGGATGGCCATCTGTCTTGTATGATCTACAGTACTTGAGGTTCCTGCATAAAGTCATAGAATTGTAGAGTTTGGACCCGAGGGTCATCTAGTCTAACCCCCTGCAATACAAGAATTCTTTGCCCAATGTGGGGCTCAGGCCCATTACCCTGCGATTAAGAGTCTCATGCTCTACCAACTTGCAGTGTTGGACTAGATGACCCTTAGGTGCCCTTCCAACTTGACAATTTTGATTCTATTGTTTTAAGTTAACGGACATGGCTAAAATGTCAATTAGTTCTTATGGGTCTACTCTAAGTAGAACTTGGCTGGATATACTTAGTTGAATTTTTTATTTTTATTTTACTGCACTCATGTGTAACTTTTATCCCATGGCCCTCATGCATGAGGTTCCCTTATAGTCTATGCCACTCAGGCACTGATAAGAGACCTGATCTGCTTATCTCCAGTAAGGTGATCTCATGTATCTTTGAGGTCCAGGCAGTGGCATAGGAAGGGCTAAACATCCCATCTCTCTCTTCTCTCCTCTGGCTTCTGAGTCAATGTCATAAAGAGAAAGAGGGAGAGAGAATGGATAATATTATCAAGAAAATTCCCTCTTATGACTGACAATCCTGGCATTACAACAAAGTTGAAACTTAATGAAAAATCAGACTCTGAAGCGCCGGCTTTAGGGATATATTGGAATATGAATTGGTATATATTGTATTAAAAATTCGACAGAGCAAATCTGTTCTGCTTTAGCCAGGCTGGAGATTTGGGGCTCAGGAAGATAAAGGTTCTTTCCTCTGCACTGTCAGTAGTTTGATATGTGTGACCTTGGGGAAATCACTTAGGTTGCCTGTGGTTGTCTATGTGGACCATGGTTTTGTCTTGTTTCCCTCCTGCATCGAAGCCACAGTACTTGGCCCAATTTGCACATGTTGAACTGGGCATGTGGGTGAGGTCAGATTATGGGCAGGCAGAGTTATAAAAGCATAAATTGTGTAAAGCAAGGCTGGAGAAGCTCAGGCTGAGGGCCTCCAGACCTCTCTAACTGCCCCCTGGGAATCTCCCCAGCCCTATTTCAAGTCCTCCTCAAGTGTGCTTTGCCTTATAGGGTGTGTATTTAAACTCTGAAAGTGCTTCTTGCTTCCCTGACTGGAGGGCAAAATGCAGAGCAGCTTCTGCAAATAACTCATGGACACCCAGTGAAGGAAGAGTCATGTTGGAAGAGTCATCGAGGTCACTTAACCCCACATGTGCCCATCAGAGGTATTGGCACTACTACAGGTGCCCCATTATACCAACTCAAGACCACAATACCTGAAGGACCCCTTCTCCCAACAGAAACCAACCCAGGCTCTGCATTCATCATCTGAGGACCTCCTTAGTGTGTCTCCTCCATGAGAAATCTGGGGTGTGTGGCTATACGAGAATGGGCCTTTTCTGCAGTGGCTCCTTGTTTGTGGAATGCTTCTTTTAAGTAAATAAAAGAAGTGCAGGAGTAGGTCCTGGGGTTATCATCTGAAGTCTTGCTAGATCTGAGAAGTCTTGGATCTAAAGAAAAGGGTGTGGTTCCTGCTTTTCACAGAGAAGATTCTGGTTTCAGTCCCTGGCATTTCCAGATGGAGTTGAGGGAAGATTGCCTGACCACAAACCCTGGCGAGATGTTGCCTCTGGTCAGTGCAGACAATACTCAGCTAGGTAGACCAATAGTCTGACTTGGTACAAGGCAGCTTCCTATGTTGCTATATTATTATTCTCATCATAATTATTAGCAGCAGCACGTTCTCCAGACAAAATGATTGCATTAATGCTGGCACATCGCATTGCTTACCTTTCATAGCTTGGTACAATTTTCATAAACTGCAAAAGAAACGTCCATCTGTAAGAAGGGGAGGGGAGAAGAAGAAGAAAAAGAAGAAGGGGGGAAAAAACATGACACAGAATTAGAGTTTTCAGAAGATTATTATATAGACATTATTTCCCTCAGGTCACAAGCTTTAGTCAAATTTGGAAGAGAATGGAATTGCCAGCAGTGAAAAAAGCAGACGGAAAGGTATGAGTTCATGAGCAGCGAAATAACATTTTCATTTGTTCCTTCCCCATGGGAAAGATTCAACATTCTGGTAAATGGAGACGGTTATAAGAAATGAATTTTTGTCAGCGGGGAAGTGATTTTAAGGCTCACTTATCCATTGGCAATCTAGATTTCTAACCCCAGGAATCTAGGAAATTGCTACAGAATGTAGTCTTTATTATAAACAATGTTTCCCCCCCCCCTTTCACTCTTTTTTGGTTTGGAGACCTACATTTCAGCGCACGTCTTGGGGAGGAGGGGGAGACCAGAGGTCCAGACCACTCTGGGATTACACAATACGGCATTCAAAGCATCTCTTTGAATTGATCTGGGGTATTGCAGAGTAACCCTTCTGTTCCAGAGCTGCTTTGGTCTTCCCAACAAGGTAGTGACTGGGAAAGGCAAGTACCACCTGCATTTGTCCTTCCAAGTTTCTACCTTTGCAAGACTCTACTCCATTGACCCTTTATTTATCTTTGTGTTTTCTTTATCTAAGTGGGCTGGGAGGGATGCTAAAGCTGCTGGTTTGTACAACGGTTATGGACACTGACCTACACATCTTAATTGCTTCCAGATCTGGCATGAAGTGAGCCAGGGAGTTATAGCGGGTGCCCATTTTGTAAAGAAAAGACACAGAAGCTAATCACAGAATTTTAGAGTTAGGAGGGACTTGGAGGGGCATCTGATTCAGCCTACTCCTGCTCAGTGAAGGAATCTACAACATATCTGAAAGATGGCTGCCCAGATAATACTAGGAGTAAGCATTTTCCCCAAACAATTTCAGGTTCATCTTTCAAAAATACAAGAAAGGAACATGGGGAAGAACTTGCTGGTGGTAAGAACTGTTTGGCAGTGGAATGCACTCCCTTGGAAAGTGGTGGAACCTTCTTCCATGGAGGTTTTTTGGGGGGCCATTGTCAGGGATTCCTTAGCTGCAATTCCTGCTATTGCAGGGGGTTCGACTAGATGACCCTTGTACATTCAAGCTGTACAACTCTATGATTCTATGAAATTTGCAGTTCCCTGAATTTTCGGTGTAGTTCTCCAGCCCTGTAATGTGCAGAAAACTGCATGCATGAAGGGGGAAGTCTGCATCCATATGTATATTGTCATGAAAACAATGTAAAAAAACAAAATCAAAATTGCTTTGCAAACAATGGTTATATTAATCAAAACGGCGTATGGAAAACGTGCATGTTAGGAGAAAGCTCGTATTAAAATGCTGATGAGTTTTCATGGATGCTTTTAAAAAAACAAAAAAGCAGAGGACACCTTAAAGGCTAATCAATTTATGGTGGCATAAAGCTTCCTTGGAGTGTGGTCCACTTCATCAGGTACATGAGTGGGGGGTGAGAGGGTGGGATTGTAAACAGGAAGGTTGGAAGGAAATGCAATGCAGAAGAGAATGGATAGTAATAATTATGTGATTAAGTACAACACTTTTCAAAACTGTTGTTGATGACAATTCCTGGTGTTGGTTGGTCAGCCAGTTAACACAATGTGCTATTTGTCTTTGTTCAATCCTAAAGTGACAGCACTGAACCTTTGGTTATATTGTACTTTGCTGGTTCCAAACGGTAGCCTCCCTTTGCAAGTCCTCTGCTCCAGGATGTATACTCTAAAGTGACTCACAGAATGTCCTGGGAGGTTGAAATGGATTTATTGTGGAAACTGAATGACAACCTTCTCGGGGGTGGGGGTGGGGAGTTTGCCCAAATGTGATTTGCCCAAATGTGATTCAATGTTGAGAATAGCTTCCATGGAAAATAATGGATGGGTAAGTGAATTGCTGTTTTTTATACCATCATTTCAACCAACTGCATCCCAATTGCATTATGCAAGGTGGTTGGGGTCCTAAAGCCTTCATTCAAAATGGTTTCTGTATTGTTAATATCAGCTTTATGACTTGCGTGTGTATTTGGTTCTTAAAAATTTAATAACCTGAAAATATGTACATCTAAAAGATCACTTCCCCTGGTGCATTTTTGCCCAGTTTAATATCTCTCTCAGTGCAATAAACCTATTTGCTTTGCATTATTATCAAGGAATTTTATTACCTGCCAAGACCTTACTTCCTCAGCAAACTGCATTACTTGGGTGAGATTCATTACGAGTATATCTGAGCTATAATGATTGTGAAAGCTTGTGAGTCTGGGTGATTAGCAAATGGGAACAGATCTCAGCAGCTTGGCCCACCGAGTGAGGCTCTGGGGATGTGTAGATTTACATGCCCTTACCTGGAAGATGAATGCAACAGTTCCTCTCTTTCTCATAAGTAATTGAAACATGGTTCCAGTGCTCTCCACGACCTGGACCACAGTGTGCCACAAGCAGCGCGAGATAAGGATATTAACAAAAGTAAATCTATTAGCATGCAAATGGAAAAGACAATTACCCAATGTGCCTAATCACTAGCCACCTGGCCACTATTCTTAGTATCATTAGCATATTTTTTTTTACCTTTATTTATTACCTGCTCTTCACTAGCAAGTCCCAGGGCGGATTGCAACCATTTTAAAATCATTGTACAGTTGTACCTCGGAAGTCGAACGGATCTGTTCTGGAAGTCCATTTGGCTTCCAAAACGTTTGGAAACCAAGGCGCGGCTTCCGATCGGTTTCAGATTGCACAGGCGTGCCGGAAGCAATAGTGGAAGCCATGCTGGCTGTTCGGCTTCCCCCAAAAAGTTCGAAAACCGGAACCCTCACTTTTGGTTTTCGATCATTCGGGAGCCGGAACGTTCGACTCCCAAGGCGTTCAGAAGCTGAAGTAAGACTGTATTTCAAACAGTTAAAGCAGATTACAGCCACCAGAATCGGGTGTTCTGAAAACACACATCTCAGGTGTCAAAGGCCGAGGTAAAAAACATTTACTAAAAACTGTATAGTAAAGGTGCCCAGCACACCTCTGTGGGGAGATTATTCCAGAAGTCTTACAGGCCATCTCCCTAAAATTCAGAAGGTGGAGGAGCTACTAAGAGTCCCCCCTACAATTACCTTAACACCTGAGAGGGCCTGAAGGGAAGAAGACAGTGTCTCGGATATTTGGGTCCTATGTCATTTAGGGCCTTAAGCACACATGAGTACCTCAAATTGGGCTGTATGCAAACTGGCAGCCGGGGCAGCTGGTGGTATTGTATCTGACCATGTGCCCTCTTGACTCTATCCCTCCTGGCTTATTAAATCTAGCATAGCGGGGCTGATTGGTTGGGTCCAGAGCATGGTTAATACTTCACTGCATGACCAGCTGGTCTTGACTGCATTGAGGTCCAACTGGCCTCAACTGGAGATTGGAGATTTAGTGTGACTACTTCCATTTTATGAAAGAAGCAAATTCTGTGCTAGGGGGGTCATTAGGGAAAGAATTGAAAATAGTATTATGTCAACACCATCACAGTGTTTCACTAAGCTCTGGGGCCACTGCATTTGGAATGTTGTGTAGTTCTGCTCTCCTCCCTTCAAAATGGGTATTGTAGAGTTGGACAATGTTCAGAAAGGAGCAGCCAAAATGATCAGGCACATGGAGCAACTTGTTAGGTTTCTGTTATGCCACTGTGTTCTTGGAGTCACAAGACTCTGTTGACATTCCAGACTGTTGGAAGTCTCACGGGAGGCGGATGTTGAAGTTACTGGTTTCCTGTTTCTTTGTTCTGTTGTTTTCTGTCTCTCACAGAGAGCAGACACATATTCTTTTCTGTCTTGCGTAGTTAGAAATAAAGTAGCAATGTAGCACATATTTCTGGCTCCTTCTGCTGCTATCTGAGTACTCTGTGCAATGGAGAGCGTGCCTGAAGTCTCATTTAAAGGCTTAGGTCGTTAATCACCGTCGGAGGAGAGCCTAGATGGGGTTCCGAAGGTACGGCCGGAGGAGTAGCCATTACAGCTCGGTCATACGGAGGCTCTGACACAACTTGCCTATGAGGAAATTACAAAAAAAGGAGATTCCAACTAAACATCAGGAAAAAAACTGACTGTGGAGCAGATTCCCTTAGGAGGTGGTGGACTCTCTTTCCTTGGAGGTTTTTAAGCAGAGGTTGGATAGTCATCTGCCATGGGTGCTTAATTTAGATTCCTGCATTGCAGGTTGGACTAGATGGGGTCCCTTCCAACTCTACGATTCTATGCAAGGTTGCATCATTTGGGACTTTTGAGCATTTAGAAAAGGTAAGAGGTGACATGATACAAGTTTATAAAATATGGCATGGCATGGCGAAAGTGGAAGAAGGAAAGCTTCCTCCCACAGGACACTGCAACTCATGGACACCCAATGAAGCTGAATCTAAATAATAATAATAATAATAATAATAATAATAATAATAATTTATTATTTGTACCCTGCCCATCTGGCTGGGCCCCCCCAGCCACCCTGGGCGGCTTCCATAGAAACCAAAAATACATTAAAATATCACACGTTAAAAACTTCCCTGAACAGGGCTGCCTCAAGATGTCTTCTGAATGTCAGGTAGTTGTTTATCGCTTTGACATCTGATGGGAGGGCGTTCCACAGGGCGGGCGCCACTACTGAGAAGGCCCTCTGCCTGGTTCCCTGTAGCTTTATTTCTCGCAATGAGGGAACCGCCAGAAGGCCCTCGGCGCTGAACCTCAGCATCCGGGCAGAACGATGGGGGTGGAGACGCTCCTTCAGGTATACTGGGCCGAGGCTGTTTAGGGCTTTAAAGGTCAACACCAGCACTTTGAATTGTGCTCAGAAACGTACTGGGAGCCAATGTAGGTCTTTCAAGACCGGTGTTATGTGGTCTCGGCGGCTGCCCCCAGTCACCAGTCTAGCTGCCGCATTCTGGATTAGTTGTAGTTTCCGAGTCACCTTCAAAGGTAGCCCCACGTAGAGCGCATTGCAGTAGTCCAAGCGGGAGATAACCAGAGCATGCACCACTCTGGTGAGACAGTCCATGGGCAGGTAGGGTCTCAGCCTGCGTACCAGGTGGAGTTGGTAGACAGCTGCCCTGGATACAGAATTGACCTGCGCCTCCATGGACAGCTGTGAGTCCAAAATGACTCCCAGACTGCGCACCTGGTCCTTCAGGGGCACAGTTACCCTATTCAAGACCAGGGAGTCCTCCACACCAGCCCGCCCCCTGTCCCCCAAAAACAGTACTTCTGTCTTGTCAGGATTCAACTTCAATCCATTAGCCTCCATCCATCCTCCAACCGCCTCCAGGCACTCACACAGGACCTTCACTGCCTTCACTGGTTCTGATTTGAAAGAGAGGTAGAGCTGGGTATCATCTGCATATTGATGGACACCCAGTCCAAACCCGCTGATGATCTCTCCCAGCGGCTTCATATAGGTGTTAAAAAGCATGGGGGAGAGGACGGAACCCTGAGGCACCCCACAAGTGAGGGCCCAGGGGTCTGAACACTCATCCCCCCCCACTTTCTGAACACGGCCCAGGAGGAAGGAGCAAAACCACTGTATAACAGTGCCCCCAGCTCCCAGCCCCTCTAGATGGTCCAGAATGATGTTATGGTCGATTGTATCAAAGGCCGCTGAGAGATCCAGCAGAACTAGGAAACAACTCTCACCTTTGTCCCTAGCTCGCTGGAGATCATCAACCAGTGCGACCAAGGCAGTTTCAGTCCCATGATGAGGCCTGAATCCCGATTGGAAGGGATCCAAATGGTCCACATCCTCCAGGCGTGCCTGGAGTTGTTCAGCAACCACGCGCTCAATCACCTTGCCCAAGAATGGAAGATTTGAGACTGGGCGATAGTTGGCCATACTGGCCGGGTCTAAAGATGGTTTTTTAAGAAGCGGTTTAATGACCACCTCTTTCAGCGGATCTGGGAATGTTCCCTCACAGAGGGAAGCATTCACCACCCCGCAGAGCCCATTGCCCAGCCCTTCCCGGCTTGCTTTTATTAGCCAGGATGGGCAAGGATCAAGGAGACAGGTGGTTGGTTTCACGTGTCCAAGCAGTCTGTCCACATCCTCGGGGTAACGGATTGAAATTGATTCCATGCAACTTGACCAGACAGGGCTCTGGCACTCTCCCACCCCAGCCCTGCTCCCACGATGGTGTCTAGCTCCTTCCGAATATGAGTGATTTTATCTGCAAAAAACTTTGCAAAATCGTTGCAGGAGATCTTGGGGTCTTTACAAGGCCCCGGTGGTAAAGGTGGTTCCGTGAATCTAGGAGTCAGAATAGATAAAAAGAAAGAATTCATTCACACGGGGCATAGATAACCATTGGAATTTGCTCCCACGAGGGACAGTGATGGCAAGCAACTTGGGTGGCTCTGAAAGAGGATAAGGCAAATTCATGGAGGAGAATACTGTCAGTGGTTCCTATGCATGATGGCTATGCTCTGCCTTCACACTCAGAGGTACCAATATTTCTGAATGCCAGTTGCTGAATACTGCAGGAGAGGAGAGTGCTGTTACACTCAGGCCTTACTTCCAGGCTTCCCAAAGGCATCTGGTTGGCTGCTGTGAGAACAGGATGCTGGACCAGGTCCAGCAGGGCTCTTCCTTTGTTTGCAACATGACTACTTATCAGTCTATCTACTTTGATGAAATGCCCTTACAGCAGGGTGGGCTGGGGTGGGGGGAGGCAGCGGATGCAGGAGACACGCAGTATGTATTTTGCAAATATTCAATATGAAAATGGTATGGATAAGTCTCCTAGATTTTGTTTTGTTGTTGTGATATGGGAAATTAGGCCAGTAGTTTGCAAGATTATATCAGCGAGGAAGTAACTGCGGTAATGGGGTGTAAAGAAGCTACACTGAGGGAAAAAATGTACATATTTATCTGAGAAAAGTTGGAGCGGGGGTAGAGAAACATGATGGTCTGTGAATTCAATATGAAAAGGAGGAGAGATAATTTTCTTTCAGGCATCAAGAGACTTGGATTCTGGGATTTGGTAGAACTGGCCACACTGTTTTAGAGCAAAGGGAGGAATTGGGAGGAAGCCGCAAGAAGAGGGCATCTAGAATGAAACTGCAGACAATGCAAAATTTTGATGTGTGAGAAAATAAACCCGGAGACACGATTAGGAATGCAAGAAGGCATCATTTCCCACTCCACCCTGCATTCATCACACACAGCCTTGTTTCTGTTCTGCTGCATTTTGTCTTCTGCCAAAGCGGTGTTATTCACATTGCTGCCTGCTGCAGCGAAATTATGCCACTTGAGTAATATGCGCCATAACATTGCCATTATGCTATACCACCCTGTTCATTTCTGTGCAAACGGAAGGCAGTACAAATGGGGTGGGGTGGGCAATCAATTACATATCATTTGTGGTATGAAAGCAACAACACAACAGCAAATGCCAATCACCTGATTTGTGTTCTGGATGTGGGACAAATAAGGGAACACTGACCATTTCTGCTCCCATTTCCCTTGGAATATTCTGACACTTCCTGGCATGGCTGATTATCCTTTAAAAGGATATAAGAAAAAAAGCTCCTATTATTTAAAGTATGTATCTGCCACTATTTAGGCCAAACTCAAAGCAGCTTGCATAGAAATATGAAAATGATATAATACAGCAACTAATTGGGTGTATGTGGAAAAAATAGAATTAGAGAACTCACAATTCACTTATGTTTTTTCTCTCTATCTCTTGGTGTGAACATCTTTGGAATGTTTTGATTACCGGTATTTTATATCAATTTTTATTTTATTTATTTCAATTTTTTGTTTTTATTTTTTTTTGTCTGATTATTATTTATAATAATAGACCTTCCCTTTCCTTGGGGCAAGTTTTTTAAAAAAATTATTATCATTCAGTTAATTTATTTGCAGATGTATAAACTACTCTACAACCAAAAGATACAAAAGCGGTGTGCAATAAAATCAAATCAGGTGAAATATAAAAGATCACGGACTTTGTAAACTAAAGGCAATAAAAACCATTTCTGTAGTCATTCAATAGAAAGACTGGGTCACACTTCAATAGCTGAGCTGAATATCTAAACACTAGCTGCTTGTCTAATTTCAGTTGGTCATTGATCCCAGAGGGCTGGAGCCCCAACACTAAAAGCTTGGTTTCTAGAACATAATTAACTGCATTACTGGGGCATGTGGTACACTTAGCACTGTCCCATCTGAGGATGCAGTTGCCGAACAGAGGTATATGGGTGAAGCGGTCCCTTAGGTAACTCAAAATGCTTCTTACATACCCTTGTGGTAGTGGTTAGGGGGCAGGGGACAGGAGAGGCTATCTCAGGTGGAAAGCTGCAAGCTCGACTGTGGGCACCTCTCTAGGCTTTTCTGGTTTGGCTGAAATTTGGGGGGGGGTGTCATAGAGTTATTATTACTTTATTTATTTGATTTACCGTACTTTTCTGTGTATAAGACTAGGGTTTTTTTTTACTCCAAAATTATATTTAAAATAGGGGGTCGCTTATACATGGGTAGTGCCTGGGGGAGACGTGGGATTGCTTGATGCCGCTAGCTGGAGATGGTCTGCAGGGTATTATTGGTGTCTGCGGCAAAGGGTGGTGTTGATTGTGTGTTGCTGCGGCAACTGGGCGTACAATAGGCTGCTTCTGCTGGTGAGGGGACATATAAAGCATAATAATAATTGACAACATAATAATAAATTAATCATAATAGCAGTCCCCTCCACCTCAAATAATATATATATATATATATATACAGTGGAACCTTGTTTCTTGAACTTAATCTATTCTGGAAGTCTGTTTGATTCCTGAAACGTTCAAAAAACCAAGGCTTGGCTTCCAATTGGTGAAGGAACCCTGGAAACAATAGCCGACAGCCGCATCGGACTTTTGGCTTCTGAAAAACGTTCGAAAACTGGAATGCTTACTTCCTGGTTCCCAGCTTCCGGGAGCCGATTTTGTTCGTCCACAAAGCCATTCGGGAACCAAGGTTCCACTGTATAAAAATTTATAAATTAATTAATTAAATAAATAAATAATAGGCCATAGATTATTTAATGGCAGAAGGGACCTTGGAGGGCCTTCTCAGTGGCCATTTGTGGAATGCCCTGCCTAGTAAAGTCTGGTTGTCTCCCTCACTATTAACTTTTAGGAGAAACTTCAAAACATCCCTGCTTATCCAGGCTGGTACTGGTTCATTTGTATATTCTCCTCTAGCACTCTCAAAACAAACTGATGTATAGCTTGGTTTGACAAGGTCATAACACCATGGATTTGTGAAGATTAACCTCTATGTAGCATTTATCAAGGAGATCAGAAGATCATGAAGAATGGCATTATGCAGTCCAAAGAGATGCTTCTCTGTTTCTCTCTCTCAAAAAGAAAATCCCCAGTGCCTCTCCCCTAAATGCAAGAAGATGCTGTGCAGTGCCAAGTGTTTCAATTTCCAGTACACAAAACGGAGGAGGTGTGTTGCAAATTTTGCTTCATTTCCCAGGGAATTTCTGCTCCAGATCAGAATGTTAAATGAGATCAGCAGGATTTAAAATGTCACCTTTCCCCCAGGAAAGGTGATCTTCTAATTATAACAATATATTACAATATATTTATTAGAGCGTTGTGTGATTTGTCAATTCAAAATGACAAAACAAAACAAGGTATTGCAGTGTGGAAATAATACATTGCACTTAAAAATTTAAACACCGCAATCTCGAAAAGCTTTTTATGCTTGAGTGTCTGCCCACAATTGACATCTGAGATGTGTCATGAAGATCACCGTTCATATGGGAGATAAGGGGATACCATGTTGTTTGGCTTAATTTCTTGGCGGCCATGATTCATGAGTCATCCCTCTTTCCGTGGCGAGTTCCCGCCTCCCCCCGGTGGAAATAAAGACACATGACACAATTAATTAGGTATTGGCCTAGGCATTGGTCCTAACCGACTATCCGGCTTCAGCCTGTTTGCTTGAAGTCCGGGAAGGGTTAACCACCAGTAGGGGGAGACCTGCTGATGCACATCAACTAGGAACTCCCCTGGGGTCACCGCTCAGGGGTGTGCTTTAGGCCCTCACCTCCATAGGCTTCGGACAGGGCCATGCCCCCCAGAATCCTTTACCGGACTACCCTTCGATATGCGGGGGAGGTGATGGCGCTTCCTCCCCCCCCTTCATTTACATAACAATACCCATACCAATGCTTAACCGCCACTCGAGCAGAAGCTCACCGCCAATACCCTCAGACCCTGTAACCAATGGGAGGGTGGGAAAACCAGAGCAGCTAAGGCGGCAAAAGAGGGAGATCCCCGGCTGCACCAGTGTTAAATAGAGCAAGCCGATTGGCTGGCCAGGGGATGACATGGCTGGGGATTCCCTCAATCGCGCGGAGGCTGAGAGCCAGCCCCCGCACACGTGGAGAGGGTGTAAAGCCCGCAACTCCACCTCCTCTCCAGTTCGGAAGTGGCTTTCCCCCAATAAGTACGTATGCTGCTCAGGGGTGTAGCTTTTTTCTAAAGACCCAACTTCAGAGTTCCTCCCTCTTCTAAGCCAGCTGCAAGTGTCAAGAAGATTATCAGTAATTTATGAAAAAATATCTATAAAACACAAACACCTCACATTAATAATGCTAATCTGGCATTGGGCTTAATTCTTTGCTTGGTAATAGGAGTATTGCAAGCTTTCTCATGCAGCTGGTGTGTAGAACTTCCAGCTCTTCAGGCCAGTCTTGGCCCACCAGGGGAATTCAAGTTACCTGTGATGCTATTTTCCAAAAATCACACCCACCCACCCATCAACAGACATCCCTCCTAACTAGCCATACTGACTGGGACTGGTGGAAGTAGGATCCAACAAAATCTGGAGAGAAACACATTGGCTACTCCTGGTGTAAACAGTACTGAGTTGATGGACCACTTATCTGATTATGTCTAAGGAGCTTCCTATACTGCCCCTTTCTGCTCTATGGTTCCCTTCTTGAGATGGATGCAACAATATGCGGTAGGGAAGGGCCAAAGCTCAGTGTCTGAGCATCTGCTCTGCACCCCTGGTATCCAGGTTCAATCCCCAACTTCTCCACACAGGACTGGAGGAGCATCCCTGTCTGAAATCCTGGCTAGCCACTGCCAGTCATGTAGACAATACTGAATTCGGTGGACCAATGGTCTGACTCAGTATAAGGTAGTTTCCGATGTTTCTCTGTTTCCTGTTGTTTCTCCACATCAGTTTCTCTTCAGTGGTGTTGACATGGCGACTAATACTGATGAGACATCATTCATGAATTGGTCTAAGCCACCTTTGAAAGGCACTTAACTCCTTTACTCATTCTCTTTGGCTTACCACAAAACTTTTACATCTGACACAGTTTCATTTTCTTTTCCAAACTAGTGCTTTTCCAATGGATGTTTGGGAATTCTCTTGCGCCACGATAAAATTAATGGTGCGTGTGTGGCATATTATTTTCATGAGTCCAAACCCACAGGAGAGAAGTTCATCAGAACAATATGTAACTGGGAAAACTTTGCAAAGCCCGTGGAGAGAAATCAAGCCAGTAACAGCTTTGGCTGCCAAGCCTGACGGCAGGGTGTGAGTAATTTGAAATGAAAAGCTATAGGATTTGAAACATTGCTTGAAATGTATGAGACATGTTGCAAGCTCAACATGTCTCTCTCATCTAGATGCAGGGAGAGAGAGAGGGAGAGAGAGGGAGATGAACACAGTGTTTGGAAGAAAGCAGAACCAGCCCTATAAGATTTGCTGAAAAACACACAAGGAAAACTATTAGAACCACATTATTGGCTGGATTTTTAATGGATCATTTGACACCCCTGATGTTCTCTTTTAGCAGCCAGTTTTGGTATGAGAGTGAGAGTGAGAGAATGCTATAAAGTTGCAGTCCTGTGCTCCTCAGGCATTGGCTTAACTGCTGTGATGTCACAGAACATTCTAAAAGGCAATGGTTGATCTCATAAGTGGCCTAATAAGAGGAGAGGCTGCTAGTTGCTGTGGGGGAAGGCAGGGAATTAGGGATGCATCAGCCTTGAAGAGTCCAGACTAGGGAGGCTTCTAACATCTGCACATTGAATGAAACTGAATGCTGGAAGATTCAGGACAGATAAAAGAAAGTAGCATGGTTAAACTTTGGTAATTATGTTTGGGACTACAACTCCCATCATCCCTAGCTAACAGGACCAGTGGTCAGGGATGATGGGAATTGTAGTCCCGAAATATCTGGAGGTCCGGTTTTGGGGATGCCTGAGCTAGAGTAATGTTGCCATGCACCTGGAATTCCCTGGACATAGCCAGAATACAGCGGTCTGAAACAGCTAGAGCTCAGGAAGCTATTGCTGCTCAAGCAGGACTGAAATAGGGCGTCATGGAGTATGAGCCCTGGAACCCTCAGGGAACGAACCAAACAACCCCACAGATCAAGGACCAGGCAGGGCCCCCTGAATCCAATGCTGATGATTCACTGGTAAAGCCCTCTGGGTTGTGACCTGGTGAAGAACCCCTGGAACTGTCAGAGAAGGAGATAAAGGCACCCACTCCCAGTCGTCAAGAGTACCACCACCAAAATCTTCAGATACGGGCCGAAGAGCAATAACAACAGTATGCATCTATGGACCATGAGTGGTTGGTCTATGCATGTGTAAGCAATCCATGATACTCCTCCACTGCCAGGAGCCGTGTTTAGCCTCCCCCTTGAGCCTTCCAGTTGCTGGAAACAACACCGGTCTCTGGCTCCTTGGAGCAGCTTCTAGGTCCTTCTTCTGGCTGAAATTTACATTTTAGCTGTTTCTTGATGAACTGTGTTCATCTGCAAACCTACCCTTGTTGATGTTTACTTTGATTAAGGTGCATATCTTCTGTAGCTGGGTCCTTAGCCCCTGAGAGCATCCCTTGGAGCAGGACATGAAACAAGAAGCCCTCTTACACAACTGCCAGTTCAGGAGGATCCATTGGCCAGCCTGGATGGGTGGAGTTAGCCCAGGTCTTTGAGAAACTGAACTCATCATGCCGGATCAGCTGTCCGCAGATCCCCAGTAGCTCCTGACAGAACCAGCAGAACAAAAAAGGAACAGGACGAGGAAATTCTTCTTATCCTGACTAGAGAGCCAGTGGAACCGAAGGTGCTTCTTATGCGGCTGTTCTGAATGAAATGTCTTAATTTCTGAGCACATCAGAAAAGCACAATATAAATTGAAAGCATTTCCTTAACTCCAGCAAGAGCAGCTTGACAGTTGCTTCCATAAACATCCCATGAACATTGTCAAATTTATGTCTGATACGGCCAATTATCTACCTTTCCGTGACAGAGGTTCGAGTCAGAGGAAAGGCAAGCAGAAAAATTCATTTGAGGCTCTTGCTGCACCAACCTGCTCCACATTTAGCTTATTTTAATGATCTCCCCCTATTTACCTTACTGTTTATTATTTCATATGATTTTCTTCCCCTTTCCATTCCTCGGAGAGTATTATTAAATATAAAGAATTCACTTAGTTATGGGCACCATGTCCAGGCTTAGCCTTAAAAGCTGCAGCTTCCCTTTGATCTACAATGTACCAAAATGTGTGATTATGCTATAAAAAGATAATGGTGGGAACATCAAAGGAACGTTGGGAAGGGGGGCAAAACTCCCGCCAGATTGGCTTAGTAGCTGCTGAACAGCTTAAGAATAGTGACAGAACATGAAGACAACCTGAGTTGAGTCTTTAATGCATTTTAATAGGGGCTCTGCAAAAGTCTGTAACATTGATATCCGTGAAATATAGGATGTTCTGACTTCCCTCGGAAATCTTATTTCAAATGCAAACTGTATCTGGAAGTCGCATATAACAGCCTTAGTGCATTGGGTGGAACAAATACTTGGGTATTCCCAGAAGGATAAACTTTTGAATCATTTCCCCCACCCCCGCCCCATCCCACTTCCCATCACTAAGCACCTGCCATTTTATTTTCCAGAGTTAGGCATGGATTTGATTTTTGAAGACAAAAATAAGTCTCCGCTAAGAACATCAAAATCTATTTTGGCCAAAGAAGGAAGTTGCAGGGTTAATTTGGGCTTACACATGGTACCTGCAGCTAACTGCCAGATGTAATTAAATGATACTATCATGCCTTTTATATAACAGACAAGTGCAGAGCAATCTCTGAAAGCTCTTTCAAATGATCTATTTGAATTCCATCTATTTTCCCCACCCACAAACTTGAATATAAAAAGCCATGTGTTGTGCAAATGTAATTGTGTGAGTTAGAGGCAAAGAATGAAGAGTCTCCCCATTTGAGTCCTTGTTTCTTCAATGTTCTGTCCAGTATCCCACTTCTGTGCTGTTGTGCTCAGGTGGGTTTCCCATAGGTATCTTGTTGCGAGCTTCCCATAGTCATCTCTTTGCAGACTTCCCATCAGAAGTGGATTTAGGGGAGCACAACTGGTTTGGTCACACTGGGCAGGGAGTCTCTGGGGTGCCACAAAGGGCTCCACAACTATCATGTAGAATGGAAAGTGAGAGACAGGGTGGGCACTGAATTTTGATGTCGCACAGGGTGCCACTGAAATTTGAGACTGCAAAGTCCGCCACTGTTTCCGTTTGGGCATCTGATTGGCCATTGTGAAAACAGGATACTGGATGAGATGGGACACTTGCCTGACCCAGCAGTGCTCCTCATATCGCCTTTCTTATACTCCTGAATTCTGGCTTGTTGAGGGGCATCAATGTCATTCTGAAGAAGTGCAGCTTTTTTTTTAAAAATGATATTTATTGAAAAAAATTTAGAATTACAAAAGAAAACAAGGTAGAAAAAGAAAAAGAAAAAACAAAGAAAAAACAAACCACATCAAACAATACAAATTAATCAAAAGACAAAAATATACCACAAACATTTAAAAACAAATCCATTGTTCTCAAATCCTTAACTGTCATTACCTTCTTTCTTTGACCTCCTCCTCCTCCCTTTTTTGTATCCTAGTTGTTAATTGTCGCAGCAAATCCTTTCCATATTTCATAATTTCATACCTTTACCTTTACCTGTATTGCACTTCTTGAACAATATACAAACTGAAACACAATTCTCCTTTGAAATAATGCATTTGTCCGAATTTTGCAGTTGGTTCTCAACCAATGAATTCATACAAAAATCCATATATTGGGGGGAAATGTGCCTTAAAATGCATATGTTAGTGGGAGCAATGCATTATATGAGGGGAAACAGTTGGAGAAAGGTGTACATTGGTCCACATCCGCATGCAAAACTGTGTATGTTAGGAGAAATTGGCACTAAAATGCTGTTGAATTTCCCTGAGGGTTTTAAAAACATAAATAAATTGCAAATTGCTGCGGAAACACAGAGTACTGAATTTAAGGCTAAGGAAAATAAAAAATGCAGAGAAACCGGGACTGACAAATTGCTCCTTCCCTAGTCCCATCAACTTCCATTACTTGTTCTTTCAGTTGAACATGTGAAAGGGGCTTGGTGTGTACAATCAACAGCAAGGAGATGCCTGCTTGGTAAACATGTGAGAGGTTTACCTGCAATTGTCTTGTTGTTGTTGTTTAGTTGTTTATTCGTGTCTGACTCTTTGTGACCCCATGGACCAGAGCACTCCTGTCTTTCACTGCCTCCCGCAGTTTGGTCAAACTCATGCTGGTAGCTTCGAGAACACTGTCCAACCATCTCGTCCTCTGTCGTCCCCTTCTCCTTGTGCCCTCAATCTTTCCCAACACCAGGGTCTTTTCCAGGGAGTCTTCTCTTCTCATGAGGTAGCCAAAGTACTGGAGCCTCAGCTTCAGGACCTGTCCTTCCAGTGAGCACTCAGGGCTGATTTCCTTAAGAATGGATAGGTCTGATCTTCTGGCAGTCCATGGGACTGGACTGCAATGGTCTTAGGGGTATGCATTTCCAGAAGGTGCTACTGAGCTCCTGCAGCTCCAATTTGCAGGGTATACTATTACAGCCAACACCAATCTTTCCCATCCAAAGAGATGTTAGACACCCAAGCTCTGGCCTTAGAAACCAATCTTGCCAGTGAGCCACAGACACCTAGTTTCCAGGGGGAAAGTTGGGGAGATAAATCATTCCCACTCTAGCAATCCATCTTTTTGGTTGTTGTTGATTTGAATGGTAGCTTTTCCATTTCTCCGCAACTGATTATGTTTGTATTTTTCTACCTTTTGATGGCCATATGTTTGTTTGTTTTTTTAATCTGTGCATTTTAATTAGAAGGTTGAAATACCGTGCTGTTTCTTATTTGGATTTTAATTAAAGAGTTGAGAAGATTCTTGCTTTGCTCCATTTTTTTAAACAAAACAAAACAAAGCACAGAGATTATCATGTTAGCAATTACCTAGGATTAATCATCCATTTCTAATAGGGTGGAAGAAACCCTTTTTGGTACTGTTGACATTTTTTGATTTGTATATAATCAGTAGCTGATGTACCTGGACAAAAGTTGTGACAAACCCCCCACAGTTAAGTTCTCTCCCCTTTTAAAATGGTTCTTTTTCCTCCAGAAAACCTCTTCTGAAATTCAGGACCAGCTGGTTCACAGGAATTATGAAGCCATCTCTTTCTCCCCCTCTCTCCCTCTGAATTTTGTTAACCTTTAGAACAGTTTGATTTTACAGCAATCAAATGGATTTTCATATTTATTCAAATTGTTCGTTTTTATTTTTGCATTTATGTACCACCCACTCAATAGACAACATCCTCCGGATGTTTCCTAAATTTAAAATCGATTCAGTTCGTTACAAATCAAAACTTTAAAACCATCAGTCTAAAAAACCCATTAGAATGCAAAAGTCAACGTAAAGCCAACATAAGCACATCACAAAGCAGCATTACATCAATTTTTACTTATTTATTTATTTAAAAAGCTTTAAAACCTGGTTTGGGGGGAACCAGGTCTTGGGGCAGAGGTATTTTTCTTCATCTGCTAGTAATACATTATAGTTCTTGGCAGATTATTCTATTCTTAGCTGGGAGATAACTGCTACGACACTCTTCCCCTCCACTTAGCACCTCTCATTTCAACAACCCGACTCTGAGAAGAATTGAGGTCTTTTAGAAGTGTGTGTCCACAGTGATGCGTACGAAGGGGGCAGTGAGGTGGCCGTGGTTTGGGAGCGATCACAGCCTATTAGTTAGAAGCAACGAAGTGAAGAGAACCTTTGGGGATCTATTAAACGTGATGTGTTTAAGGCATCTGCTGTCCCCAGGTGGGAAGACCTATTCCACAGGTTTGTACAGTACGGAATAATTGGACTTGGGAAATCAAAATGGCTTCTGGTGCCTGGTTGTGCTCATATTGTGCCAGGTTGTGGGAAATGTACATATTACAATGTCAACTTTTTAAAAAAGTACTAATATTATGAGTCAGGAAATGGTCTGCTAAGACATGTTCTCTGCTGTTGGTGTTAGGAATAATGACAGCAATGATGTAAGAATTACTTTTTGGGCTGACAAAGATTGCGTTCAGGGGATGTCATTTTGCTAGCCCATCTCATTCTATTCTCTCGAGACACGGGTCTTTGCAACTAAGGTCTTCACTGAATAGAAATGATTGACAATTCAATCAGTGTAAAAGCAACAAGCTGACTCTGCCGGGAGTGCATGTTTAATGCACTAATATGCCTGGGATCAGATTCTTAAATAAAACATTATCTGACTTTATTTGTTTATTTATCCATTCATTCATGAATTCATTCAGGAGAGCAAGGTGAAATAGTGGGGAGTGTGAGAATATAAATTAGAAATTGCAGACACAAGCTGAATGAAGACTTGTACCCAGGGCAATAATGAGATTAAATTGGTGTTGACACTTAATTTTGGGAAGGCTCTTATTGGTGCACAGGTCGCAGCCTGCACAATGGCTGTTGATCTCTCACCTTCATATTCTTTTGGTAGGGAACAGAGGAAGAGTTTAATACTGTTAACTAGGAGAATCCATGTTGCAATATGCCCTATACATTTTTAGACACAGAGCAAGCATCCAAGCATTTGACCTATATAAAGCCATATGCATCTTATGACCTGGGTTTCAAAAAGGACCACTTGCTTCCAAACAGAGATTTTACTTGATCAAAGAAATATTAGGGTGCATTTGCCAATCCATCAATGGAGAAGTATTCTCATTGCCAGGGTGGCACTTAACCCTAGTGAAAGGACCATGGACAGCTCTCTCAGTGTAGATGTCATTCCAGCCTCCTGCCATCAGAAAGCTTTAAGTCTGCCTCTCTTATCACTTTTGATATGTTGGAGGGTAAATGCTTTGCTTGTGAGTATACATGCTCCCAGATAGCACTGCTTAGTAGACTGGAGTATATTACATTTTAATACTTTTCTAGTAATAATCGCTTCAGTGTTTTAACATCAGCCTCTTAAAGAACACACTTGTGTGAGGCATGAAAGCAGGAAAATTATCTCATTCTACAATAATCGTCTCTCTCCCCCCCCCCTTTACATTAAAGGACAATACGTTTCAAATTTCTTTAATGGTGGGCACTTTGGTTTATTTCAGAGTCTTTCAACTCCGACAAATTCATACACAAACGGCAGAGAGGGAGAGAGCGTTATTTCTCTTGTTCCCCACCAAGCACGAATCAAATGATGTTTACATTTCCTTGGTTCTGGATCTTACAGACCAGGCAGTAGACATCGAGTAATTAGTGCATGTATTTCCTCATTAAAATATCATTAGTGAAGGTTTTCTTCTTTCAAGATGTTCCAAATGAAGGTTTATTGCATTGTGTTGATATCATTATGGTTTACCAGTAGCCAGATGTTGTAAGAGTTTAATGGTAGGGCATGGTTGCCTATGTGCTTCGAATCACCAGTATTGTAAGGAGGAGGCTGTAATATAAGTCCTTTTTGATATGGTCAGATAAAGCACCTACGAAGAAGTGTCCACATGACCTGGCAGATAGAAGTTTGAGGTTTGATCTGGCTCATAAGAAACAAACCGCTTTGAGAATCATTCAATCCCTCTTCCCAGGGAACGCTCCTTAACAAACTACAAGTCCCAGGATACTTTGGAGAAAGACATGTCGTTTAAAGTGATATAATAGTACTTTAAATGTTTTGTTCAGGTGTGGCCTGAGTCAGTAACGTCTACGCTACAACCCAATGATGTCTACACTGAGAAATGAGGTGGGAGCTCTCCAAGTTACTAAGGAAGCTAGGGGTTTCATTCGACTCATGTTTTGAAGCAGACTTGTTGAATCCACACCAACTGGACCTATTTTAATTAGGAGATCAGAAATAAAGAGGCAAGACACAAGATATGGAGTATAACTAGTGCTACTTTATTAACTGCAGCTTAAGAGCATTCAAAATTAAGAACCTAAAAACTACATGGGGCAACTGAGACCATGGCTGGATCTCCACCAACCTGTTTAAGATTACTAAAACAATACTAGACATGGCGTTCTAAAATGTCACAGGGCATGCCTGTAAAATGAAGAGTTTCTTACCTCTGTTTCTTTTTCGTGAAAATGCTGTTTCACTACTGCCAGTTGCTGGTTGCTCTGCAGCGCCCTCCGGTGTCACATTTTAATAATGAGCACTCACACTTTATATGTGGGTGCCCTTTGCAGGATTGCGCGAGGGGCTACAGTTCCCAGGGAACTTACTAGAAATAGGGGGCTGGCTTGCATTCTCAGTGTTATTATTTGGAGGTTCACACCCAGCCTTCAGTAGTCATGATTCATTGCTGGGAGGTGGGGCCAGCCCCAGTATAAATAGGGGGTGCAGCCGACAACAGCCAGGCAGTTGGCTCTGGAGATTCACCCTCCCTCCCTCCCCTCCCTTTGTTTAATGTTCTCTTGTTTGCAGATTAACTTTTTCTTCCTGTTTAGCGGGGTTGCTGCAGTCTTTGACTGGTTGCTGTTGAAGGACCGGGAAGAAATTTTCCTGCATTGGCAGGTTTTGTCTTCCCTATTTTGTCACAACTTTGGTGGTTATGGCCTTGGGTGGAATCCTTTAGTCTTTTCTTCCCTATTGGGGGTGGGGTGTGAAGTGGTGATTCACCCCCCTGTGGTGGCAATTCCAGGGTCCCCTCTTAAAGGGGTTATATATATGGGTGTCACTGGCCATACACTGAAAGGTGATCAGTGAACTACCCTGCGTACAGGGATATGGGGTGGGCTGCCTGCGTGCACCTATGTTTCGCAGAGCACCCCCATATCCTATTTACCCTATTATTCCCCAGTTCCCCCCGGCTGGGGGGCTGGGAGGGATACACACCCAAGGCCTAAGCCAAGGTCTTCCTACATTTGGAAGTTTAAACAAAGTTGTGGCCTAATTTTAATTCCATAACACGTGTCAGAGTCTTTATTCCTTTCTTGTGATCCCTGGGGGCTGGGGCTGTCGCGCCTGGTCACGCAATGCGTTATGAATGTTAGAAGCTGGATGTCATGTGTCCATATGGTTATCAAAGCCATTCCTCAATCCTTCCTTAAAATTATAAGCAATGAATGTAGATTTGCCCCATGTGCAGGGAAATATGCCAATGTTATCTCTCAGGATCCTAAGCCTGCAGGGAGTCAAGCTGGCATTAGGCCCAGCTCTTCCTCCCACCCTATACCATTTCCCCTTAAGGTTCTGTTCAACTATGGAGACACAGTAATACATCAGTTTCTCTATTGCTGGGACGTGGACAACCTCTGACTTGAAGGCAAAATCTTGCTAGGCCTTCCTATTTGGCCCAAGAGGCCACTTTGAGAAATCCGCCCACACTCCCCCTTCACTTAATGTCAATCATGATGCCTGGTGTGGGGTGTATAAGGTCAGGGCTTCAAAGGCATCAGCAGGAGCTTAAAATAGGCTTCCAGTTGTTCCTTTGCTGGAGCAAGGTGCATTCCTATTCATCCATCAGCTGATGGGTGATGGGAGCACACCTTGCTCAAGGAGGGGGAAGTAGTTTCCAAATCACTGTAAAACCATTTCTCCCTCACAGTGCTGCTTTTTGAAGCAGCCCTGCGCTGCTCCTTAAACCGCTAATTGGGCAAGGTTTAAAGGAACAGCTTCCTAATGGCTTCCAAAGGAGCAGCTTCCTAATGGCTTCCAAACGGTCCTGTGCTGTGCTTTGAAGCCTTGACAAGCGGGCACCTGTCAGGGACTGGGCAGAGGAGGAATGGTGGAGGCCACCTCCCCATCCTGACCCTTCCAGGGGGGAGGAAGAGGAAGACAGTATAGATTTACAACAGGGGTTTGAGGGAGGTAACAGCTCAGAGGCTGATGAGGGGGGAGGTTAGGAAATCCTGGGAGAGCCAGAGCAACACCTTGCTGACACGTTGTCCTTAGAAAGCATCCCAGACCCTCCATCTCCCAGAACCCTGTGAGCCTTAAAAGTAGGAGAGCAAAGAGCTCAAAGACAGAGGGCATGTGGCAGTACACATAGAGGAGACGATGAGAATGACGAATAAGGAAGTGGGAGAGATGGGGGGTGCAGATTCACTTGGGTCAACACAAAGATCCAAGAAGCTTGGTTCTATGGCCTCTTTCTCTGTAAAGATTGGAATAAAAAAGGAATGTCAGAAACTTTTCTCTGTTTCTCTGTCTTTATACTTTCCTGGGCAACCAGCTGGGAGCCACTGACAGCATCCTGACAGTACCACATCACCAGACATCAGTCTGGTGCACTGCATACCTGAGGTGGAGAGATGATGATATAGCCCACCTGCCAGAAATCGATTCCACACCCCAGCTCTATTGAAACAGCTCTATATAATTTTGGACTCTGAAATCTAGATGAGGCCAATATAGGAAGCCGGTATCTGCCTTGATCAACTATGTATACATAATTATCCCACCCATGATACAAGTTCTGTTGCAAACTGCTTCCACATAACAACCGGAAAGGTTGAGGTTGGCCTTCACTTGGTCCCAGGGCCCTGTTTTTGCTTCTCAAAGCCTTGTAATATTATTGAACATGAAGTCAAATGTCTTAACCTACTGGACCACTGCTTAATAAGATGTTTTAATTAAACGGAATGGCTGAAAAGTAAAAAAGAAAGTAGATTGGAAATCATCATTTTGAGTTTGTTTTGTATACAGGAGCGTCTGTTGGTTTAAGCCAGTGGATATTTTCTTGGTCGACCCAGTAATCCTAAAGTGGTGTGTAGATGCCCAGGAGTAAATCAATACTCTGCTCAGCCCTGCCGTCTTACATGAAGCACAGACTGTAAAATAGACACAAAAGATGCATGATACTCTCCAAGGCCCCCAGCAGCTATAATATCCATCTTTGGCAGTTCACTTGACATTTACTCGCCCTATTTCCCAGTCCCTTTTCTTTCCCCTCCTCCTCTTTCCCGCTCTCTAACAGCTAGGCCCTGACTCTCTGGGGCTCACCGACTGGGTGAGCAGATAACAAACCTGTCAAGAAAGGTTTAGCTGGGGAATAAATCCTGAATTCGCCAGGAAATGATGTGTACAATGGGAAAATGGAAGGGATGACATGAGCTTTCCCTTTAGAGACAGTGGCCAGGAGATACTTAAAATGTTACAGCCTTGTGTTAAATGGGCTCCAGGACAGTTGCTTAGATCCGATCTTCGAGGGTTCAAGTGGCCTTTTACTCTTATTTACACACACACCCCGATTGCTCTTTGGAAGAGAGAAAGAAAAAAAGCACCAGGTCCTGACCTGGTATTCTTTTGAGGAATGAGAGAACACTTGAATTTCAATTGCTTTCCATAGCCAATGTTTAAAAATACCCATTTGTTCTTTTTTGGTAGCATACAACATCAGACATGCGTCTGCAGATTTGTTTGTTTTATTAAAGGGAATGACAATATACTTTAAGAAATTAAGTTTTTCATCAGCAATTTCGGATTTATTGTATTCACCTACCTTTAGTAAGAAGGCAAGGCCTGCAGTGCTGCTTCCATTCTGCTGCAGTTTGTCTTCAGCCTAAAACCATATTAATTGCATTGTAGCCTGCTGCGGCATAATTGCATCACTTATGGAATTTACATTAATGCACAAATTACATGGTCATTGTGTAATTCCACTCCATCTATTTCGGTGCCAAGGAAGCACACTGCAAATTAGGTGGAAACGCTATCATGTTGTTTGCCGGCTGAAAGTGACAACAGAAAATGCCAATCATAATCACTGGATTGATTTTCATTCTTGCCATGGAAGAAATAAGTGAATGTTGGCCATTTTGGCTCCCATTTCCATTGGATGTCTCCAACATCCCTACCAGGGTGGGATAAATATGTTAGAGAATCACAGAATTGTAGAGTTGGAATAATAATAATAATAATAATAATAATAATAATAATAATAATAAATATATTATTTATACACAGCCCATCTGGCTGAGTTTCCCCAGCTACTCTGGGTGGCTCCCAATCAAATATTAAAATCAATACAGCATTAAATAATAAAAACTTCCCTAAACATGGCTGCCTTCAGATGTCTTTTAAAAGTAGGATACTTGATTATTTCCTTGACATCTGGTGGGAGGGCGTTCCACAGCGCAGGCGCCACCACCGAGAAGGCCTTCTGCCTGGTTCCCTGTAACCTCACTTCTCGCAATGAGGGAACCACCAGAAGGCCCTTGGCGCTGGACCTCAGTGTCTGGGCTGAATGATGGGGGTGGAGACGCTCCTTCAGGTATACTAGACCGAGGCCGTTGGAAGGGACCACAAGGATCATCTAGTTCAACCTCCTGCAGTGCAGGAATCTTTCACCCAACATGAGGCTTGAACCCATGACCCTGTGATTCAAATTCTCATGCTGTACCACCTGAGCTATTATGATTTCTTTCAGTTTTCTGCCATAAGTACAGTTGCATCAGTTTGTGGACTTTAAGATATAATACTGATGCTTGAACAAACAATTGGGCTGTGCTGGTCTGTATATGCTGATCCAGAAGTCCCATTGAGTCCAGCAGGGCTTATTCCTAGTTAAGTGAGGGTAGGATTGCAGCCTCTATGAAAGGGCAATTCTAGCAACACACAAGATCCTCATTTCTTTCAAACCGGGCATCTGCAAAAGGCAAAAACGGGCTGTGATTTAACATGGGCACGCCCCAGAAATAAGGGCTGCCACCAGAGTGTGAGGCCGTCTCATGTCTTACCTCATAGCACCTAGGCAAGGTTTTTTTTGAATGGATAAGGAGCGAATAAAGCAAAAGTCCCTCACCCTTTAGAGGCAACATCTGTTCCTATGCCTGAGCCACCAAACATGAATGTGTGTCTTCAAAAGCTGTTGAGTACTATTTAAAAAAAGAAGAATCAAAAACGGGGGGGACCCCACACATGTTAATATATTATCCTTGTTATTGCTCCTTCTGTTGTTTTCAACAGTTTTTGTTCGGCATGTTTTGTCTTGTATGTGTAAATGCAGAGCGCGCCGTATGGCAGCCGGGCTGAACACACTTATCTGCTCGCTACTTCCACTGGGCTGGAACAAAGACTCTGCTCTCTTTTACTTTGTCTCCATTCTCTTTCCTTCTTTATTCCATCGCATCACATTGTAGAGGGTCTACCAAAGGCGTTTTTAAACCCTAGCTCAAAAAAATTGTTTGGATGTTACTGTCCCTTACCTGCTCCCAATGCAAAATGCGCAAGTGACCTGCCTGTCTGCCCAGAATTGCAGGATTTGTATGTGGCTCTATCATATGGTGGTGGTCAGTTGAACTGGAGGTGGCAGCTTCCCAGTACCTTCAAGCCCTAGACTGAATCCACCTGGACTGGCCATTGGATCCATCTAGACATATAAAAAGGCTTCCTGTTCTAGCTGAGCTTTTTGAAGTCAACCAGGTCTTCTTGCGCTCTGGTCTCCTCATGCATTCTTGGTTCTCCTTTGGTCCTGCCTTCTAAATGGCCACTTGAGCCTGATTAGTGATTTGTCCCCTGGTTTCTGGCTCACGTTGGACTGTTGTCCAGCCACATGCGCCATGTTGAAAGTGCAACAGTCAAGATCATTCCATGTGCAACTAAACGGTTAATTCTGTTAACCAATGGCAAAGGGGAAAGGGTGGAGGTGTTGCTTAGTAACCAGGGAGGTGGCATGACCCTTTGTGAGGCAGGATGTGCTCTGATTGGTTGTGTAGCTTTGAGGGAGTTTTCCAGCGAGTGTTAGGTCTTATGTCTCCACGCTATGGACTAGAGCAGAACGGCTAAGAAAGGGAAAGCCTCTCTGTTTATTTTTTTTCTCAAGGTGGCAAACTAAACAAGAGCAGCGCATAAGCAAAATATTACTAGGATTTATTTTCTCTCTGGACTCCAACTGCATTACTTTGGCAACAGGATTCTTGGCTAGCTGGGACACCACCCTGATTCAGCAGGCTGTTTTCATGTTTACATCCTTTCAGATTCAAAGTTTTCCAAAGTTTGTGATGCAGTTCTCTAACCAAACAATGTGTACAATGTATTTTTAACCTTCTGTTGGAAGCCACCCAGAGTGGCTAGGGAAACCCAGCCAGATGGGCGGGGTAGAAATAATAAAGTATTACTACTACTACTACTACTACTACTACCATTACAAAAATGCATTGATTAGGAGAAAGTGTGCTTTTAAATAGCACATGTGAGTCAAAGCAACATAGAGATGTCATTCTGTCAAGGCAAAATGCTTGTAGAAACATGTACATCTGCCAAAATTGCATTCACGTATTTGTACATTAGGGGAAATTCACACTTAAATGCTGGCAAATTTTCACGTGAACTTGACAAGAATAAAAAATAATTTCAGAAAATGTAGAGAACTGAGTTTAATGCTACAGAAATGAGGAACTGAGGCAGACTTGAGAGACTCGCCCACCTTCTGAGCCCAGGGCCTTGACATATCCATAGTTTAAAACATTTCATTATTTGAAATTGTCTGTCTTCATGAAATACATGTTAGCATTAGCTTCAGCTGGGATTCGGAGGCAGATGATGGGAAATTGACACCAGAAGTTTATGTTGCTGGCCTTGTGGTTCAACTAGATGTAAATACTTCTGAAATGTCAAATTAACAGAGAAAATGTTCCACTATGCCTGTGAGTTGGTGTGTGTTCCTATCGTCTTCCCTTCCAGTCCCAGAGGAAGCTAATTTAAGAGTCCCTTTTCATGCTCCAATTAAATCAATTCACCAATTCACTCTGTTTTCACATAATCTTAAATTTAGCATTCATTTTCTTCTTAGCTTTTGGCTTCATTTCCTGTTAATAAACAGTGTAGCGCACAAAACATGCTCCTCAACAAAGCCATTCGGATGCACAGAGACACCAGTGATTTGCAAGTGTGTCTTCCATGTAATTGTTTTAAATTAACAAAAAGAAACATAAACACACACCCCTGTGTGTGAGGGTCCTTCTATCTTTCTTGTGGTTTGAGATCTGTGCATCTTGTCATAAATCGGTATTTATTAACACCCAATTTTATTTGTCCACCACCTACCATCACTTTGTATTTTGTAATTCTTATAATTCCACATTGGCACAGAATCGTAGACTTAAGATGTGAGACTTGACAGAAAGCATAGCCCAAAAGCTACTGCCAGTGGTACCTTCAGGGCAGGACTTTAGGGCAGATGACCAAGACCACTGGGTCTCTCAAGAACCTGGGTGAGTTGGATCACTCAGCAGAACCTGTTCCTTTAAATAAGGGATAGAGAACCTGGTTTCTTTTGATACCACATTCTCTTGGGACTTCATGTTAGTAATGAGGGATGGGGGAAGCTGAAGCCAATGATGGGTGTGGCATGAGGATGGAATAATCTGGCAATATTGGTTTCTCTCAGTTTCTTGTTTCTTCAACCTTAAATTAAGTTTTCCACATTTCCACACAATTTCCTTCCTCCCTCCCTCCCTCCCTCCCTCCTTTCTTTCCCTCCTAACTTTCTTGCTTCCTTACTAACTTTCTTGCTTCCTTACTTCTTTAATCCTTAGCTGGATAACTGCATCACAAAATTTTCAGGAGTGTGTGTTTCAGATTATTGCTATGTTTTCACCCATGTATTGGTTTGAGAAGTGTGAATTAGGTTGTTTCTCAATAAAATGCAAACAAAATCGGATTGCTGTCATGCTCTTACTAGGCCACTCCTTTTCTCTCTTCTTCCTTCCTCCTCTCTCTCTGTCTCTGAAATTGTTTCACCAGTTTCTGTTCTCCCCACCACATCAACTCAGGCCTTAGGACACTGGCTGCCCATGCCTTCTTTATGTTGGAATTTGGTGTTACGGGGGGGGGGAGTATATAAAAGGAGGATCCAGCTTTGGGGCAAGTTATTTTTGGTGAGAGAACCCCAGCAGAGATTTAAAATCACAATATGAGCAGCAAAGTGTGGAAATATAGGCTGTTAGACCATTAAAATATCCCCATCTAAGTTTTCCTCTTCCCTTAGCATAGAAACAACACATTTGGTAAGTTAACAATAGTGTACTTACAAACTCTTCAAAGGTCAGATTCACATGCTTTTCCATGCAGCAGTCGAGAAAACATAGGCAGTAAAACTTAGGTTCCAAAGTGGTGAATGTTTCTAATTTATTTGTATAGGAACACAAAGATGGCTTGCTTGAGCCAAGCGGTCTGAGCTTGGAGCAACCATCTCAAACCTCCTTACTGGTAGGGTTCACATGGTGGAATGGAAGAACAAAGAGCTTGATAACCTTTCCTCTCAAGGTGAGAGAGGGCTGACCTAGCTAAACCTAGCAGAACAGCTTGCTCTATGGCTTAACCCCTTAATGCATTAACTAGACTTAAGCATGTTGGGTATATGAGGCTGCCTATCCTACACTTTAAACCAGGCACCCCCAACCTTTGGCCCTCCAGATGTTTTGGACTACAATTCCCATCATCCCTCACCACTGGTCCTGTTAGCTAGGGATCATGGGAATTGTAGGCCAAAACATCTGGAGGGCCAAAGGTTGGGGGTGCCTGTTTTAAACATTCCTGTATGAATGGTGTTCTCCACCTTGGTGTTTCTATAGGAGTGGAATCAAATAATTGGCAATGCTACACTCTTGGGAGTCTGTCATATGCCTGGAACTATATTTTATCCAGATAAGCAACAACAGTAATAGATCTGGGGGCTTTTCCAGGTATAAAAATGTTGGATGCTGTTGTCTGTGATTGAATATTTGGGTGGTAAAAAATTATGTGTTCATAAGGGAGCCCATCTTTAAACAAATCAGAATTATCTGGCAAGTTTTCAAACAGCGTTTCTTTAAAGGGCTTATTAACTTGTGCTGATTTAGGTTATCACTTAATTGACACCACAGAGTCTAACTTCCTCTGTCAGTTGAATTTGCACGGCCTGCATCTGGCTTTGCATGGCTGCTGAATGCCGCAAAGAGAGGTGCCTTCATGCTAAATCAGGACTGACGTTGACTGCTACCCATCATGTTGACCTCCTGATTCCCTTGTTACACCTTGAAAATAATGCTGATGTTATCTTTGAAGCCACCGTAAGAAAGAATACAGTGTGTCACAGCAAAATTCATGTCTGCCATCACCGTTGATGTGAACATGACAACCGCTTAAGAGATTTCTTTGAAGAGCAGGCATGAAGTTCAAAGGAGAGGAAACCCATTATGGGTTGGTGGGCTGTTTGTACACAATTTTCCTGTCAATTTTGCTCATCGAGTAATACCTTAGCGGAGCATGATAGCAGTTTCTCACTCTTATTAACTGTTTCCCACTCAACTACATCTATGATTACGATAAGTCCAGAATGTCGTGCCAGGGGAGGGGAGGTTCACTATCTGAGCAGGGGGGAAAAGGAGTCACCCAGTTTGATGTGTAAATGGTCAGGAATAATTGTACCAAATGGTGGATTTAAAAAAAAAAACAACTGATATAAATTTGATGTCCTTAAAAGAGAAGCATGCTTTTTATTGAAAATACCATAAATTCTGCACACAATATACTTGATAGGATGCAGTATACAACTGTGGGATTTTATGACTTTTTTTTTTAATTAAAAAAATGGTAATCAATTAATTGACTTGCACATGGCATATTATCACAGTTTATGGATTCTATTAAATCTGTTTTTTACTTAGGATAACAGAATCTGATTATTCCTAACTAATTGTAGAACCTAATTTTTTTCCAACTGAAATTCATTTTGTCAATTTGGGTCAAGTTCTACAGTTTGTTAAGGTCATCTTGAATACTCATTCTATCTTCTGCGGTAGTGGCCACCCCTCCCCGTTTGGTGTTCTGTTTCACCGGCTTGGACCCACAACACTGAACTCATGGTACCTAATTGTTACAAACTGTGCACCTGAACCATGGGGGACCACCTACAAAGATCTCCATGTGATCAGGCAGGAATATAAGTAAGAGAAGCCATGACTGTTAAAAATGGTATAATTGTACATATGTGGTCTTCAGGAGGCAGGAAGTTACCTGGTGGTATTCCAGAGGTGGCACTGGGCACCACCATCTTTTGCCCTCAAGTCAGTGCTTCTTGAATAGTGCTTTGGCATCCCGTGGCATCATTTGCAGCAAGTCATTATGGGAACATGCCAGCCATCGCTGTCATTTATGCCCATGGCTGAACTATGGATTCCATCTAATGTTAGACCTGCTCAGATTAGACCTCCGGAAATTGTTAAACCTAAGTCATGCTCATTGATTTAAATAGGGGAACTCTGGCTAGTGATAACGTTGGATACAGTCTTATGGGTAGCATTCAGTAAAGCTTTACTTGTTGTGGACCCAATGAAGTTAATGGACCTAACTTAGGTTCATTAGGTTCAGCAGGTCTGCTTTGCATGAAGCTTAGTGGATACCACCCCGTGTTTTAAGAAATAAGTCTGATGTCATGACTGTTTCTCATGGTAAGCTGCCTGCCCGGCCACCAACCCCCTCCCCCCCCCAAAAAAGCAACATTTCCACACTCACTCGAGATGAAAAAATTCCCTTATTTTCCCCTTTTAGCACCCGCTCCCCAATTGCCAGAGAAAAAGTTGCATAATGGAACTCTGCTGTAATTACAGTG